TTAGCTCTAAAGCTACTCAGTGATGATTTGTTCTTAGAGCATATTTTAATTATTGCGTAATTGTACTTATAGTTATTTTTCATGTGTATCTGCATGATCTATGCATTTAAAATGCAAAACCATTGAAATTTCAAATTGCAAGAATGGAGTTGGCTCTGTGGCACAGCCAGTGATGTGGTGTTCAAAAGATGCTGGCTCTCAAGTGACCACTGCCATTCAAGTTCCCGGCTGATCCATCCAAAGCACACTGGGCATATGAGTGTCCCAAATCTGACAGTCTGGAGGGTTGGGATGGGGGGGAATTGCAGCATGACCAGATCCTATGAAGGATGATCCCCTTCTCTCTCTCTCACTCCCACATCTACTCACATGGTCTGTCATTAATAAAGAAAAAAATGTAAAAATGGACACCAACCCTCAGCACAGCAGCTGTCTTAGAGTAGATGGATTATTGTCCTGAGCTGGCAAGAGACATTTAGACACACTGCATTTTCCCTAGCAATTAGAGTATGAGCTCGGAGCTCAGTTTTCAGGACTTGGGAGCCCATAGAATTCAATTCTGTCAAATTCAATACCTTAATTTCCACATTTGCATTCTCTTTTCTAGTCTCTTCACACCTCCCCTGCTCACTTTTTGTTTTTACCAGAGAGTCAGGGAAGGCTATAGGTATGAGGGAAAAGGAAGAGCTTGGGAGATTATCTAATACCAGGAAGTCATACGGTGGCAATCTGGGGGTTTAATGTGATGATAAGAGAACAGAAGAAAAAGAAAGGCAGAAGTATCACCCCCCCAAAAAAAGGATGGGCGCATGCCTGCTTTATAAATTTTACAAAACCTTCTTGATTTTGCATCTTAAAATATAATATCTAATAACAAAACCCAATTCATGTTTGAATTGTGATGTGACCTAGCAGCACACCTGTGGAAGGCAGACCAATGGCTTCTCCAACATGGTGATGTCCTAGTCTTCGGGACCTATGAACATGTTATTTCCTGTGGCAGAGAGATTTTGCAGATGTGATTAGTTGAGAACCTTGAGATGGGGAAGATTATTTTAGGAGATCCAGTTGGATCCAGTGTATTCAAAAGGGCCCTTATAAGCAAAAGAAAAATCAGGCTCAGCGAATGTGCTGCTGGTTTTAAAGATGGAGCTTGGGCCCAAACGCAAGGTTGGCTTGAGCCCAGAGATGCAGGCAGGTTGTGGAAGAGTCTGGAAAAGGCAAGGGAACATATTTTTTCTCTGAAAGCCTTCCAAAAGGAACACAGCTCTGTTGATATATTGATTATAGTTCAATGAGTACCATGTCAGGCATCTAACCTATAGAGCTATATGATGATAAGTGTGCATGGTTTTTTATTTGTTTGTTTTTTGGGTTTTTTTTTTTTTTTTGAGAGAGGTTTTTCACTATAGGGCGCATGCGCTTGCCAGACAGACAGAGAGAGACATAGAGACATAGAGACAGAAAGTGAGAGATCCCCCCCCCAGGGGATATGGTCATGCCACAATCCCTTCTCCTCCATTCTCTTCTCGGGATCTTGGGCACGCACGCACACGCGCCCGCCGTGAGTTTTAAGCCACCGGGTCCAGGACGTGAACCGCAGTCGACTACGTGGGAGTCCAGTGACATAGCCATTACGCTAACTGCTGGTTTCCAAGTGTGCATGGTTTTCAGCAACAAGTTTGTGGTTACTGTGGCCATAGGAAATAGACACAATAGTGAATGCAATGTACCAAGCACTACCGAAAAGCCTAACAGCATCCAGAGAGCTCAGGGATGGTTTCCTGATGTACAGCGAATAAACGAGGAGTTTCCAAGACAAAGAGGAAGGGGAAGAACATTCCAGTTGGTGGATGGGCTAGGGGAAATGAGCAAAAAGGAATATAGTAAGAAACGAAAGTCAGTTGGAAACACTGCGAGTCATCTAGCCTTGTTTGGAAACAACCTGGCAAAAGATGAAGCAGGAGGTGTGAATGGGAGAGAGGAGACATTTTTCTGCCTTTAAATCAGAGGTCATGGGAGGCAACAAAGGGTTATAAAAAAATGGTGTGTGCGTGTGTGTGTGTGTGTGTGTTTGTACATGGAATTTGTAGTGATACTAATTAAATTTAAAATTTACATTTAGAGTTGTAATACACACACACACACTTTTCCTTTTAGCTGATAATCCCCAATAGAAATAAATAACAATGATTTCAAATTATGAGCCCAGGTCCAAATATCACAAGGTGGATGTCACAAGGTGGGGATTAGATTTACACTCAGACCCTCTTTGACCCCAGGCGACAACTCATCGTGAGCTCCAGGATGACAGGGGGAGATGGCATCTCCTTCCCCGACATTTTAGTGGGGTCCCTAGAGGGTCAGCAGGAGGAGAGATTTATTCCATGAAGATGCTGAAGTAGTCCCCGTTTAATTTCTATCAGAACAAACCAAAGCCATCCCCCCCCAAAAAAATATTGATATATTTGTTATTAATATAGACAGTCTTAGGTAAAGGTGCAAAGAAAAGTAGCTTTAGAAAATTGGAAATGATTTGTGCATATACTACCATAAAATTTGCAGTCAAGTGACACAGCTTTAAGACAAATTCATAAACATCAAATCCTCACCTCCACTTCTGACCTCTAAGTTATACCACCGGAGTCTTAAATTACTAATGATTCATGGAGCCCACTAATAATTGCTGTATAGATCACTAATATTTTATATTCCACATTCCCCTTAATCAAGAGTGGTTCCTGACTCGTGCATACAAAGTTAAAATGACCTATGTAGTAGTAAATTTGCAGAACTATGAAATGGAATTGCTACTTTATATTGATTGGAATTATCACTTTCAGTTAACTTTTCCTACTGCCCCCCACCAAATATACAAAAATCTCACCTTATACTCTGATCTTGTTGGATTCTTCTAGAATATTGTCTTAGTGACAATATTGGACTTTTGTATCTAAATACCATAAACTGGTATTACGCTGGTTTAAACAGTAAACATTTAATTCTCACAGTTCTGGAGGCCAGGAAGTCCAAGATCAAGGCTCTGGAAGATGCAGTGTCTAGTGAAGTCTCTCTTCCTAGATTTCAGTGATTGCTTTCTCACCGGGTCCTCACAGGACAGATATCACCTCTCTGTAGTCTCTTCTAATATGGGGGCACTACACCTGCTAATGAAGGGTCCACCTTCATTCTCTAATTACCTCCTAAAGATCCCACCAAATATCATTACATTGAGGACTAGGGCATCAATAAATAAATTTTGAGGGGCAACATAGCCACTTAGTACACAGCAAACAAGGTAAATCTTCATTGTAAACGATTTTCCTTTAACTCGTACTATTTTTAGAAACTTCATGAAAGATAATGAGTCACTTAACTTTGTGTATTGGTGAACTCCCTGGGCCACCCGTCTTGTGTTTGCCTGGTATAGCCTGCACTAATGGAGTAGATTTCCTTCTGTATGAAAAGTGACAACTAGAAAGAGAGGTGGAAGTCTCGTACAGCAGGGTTGGATCAAAGGCTCAGTGACATCCAAGCTTGGAGGAGGAAACGTGTTTATGAGACCAGCTTGCAAATGTAAAATAGGCAAAACAAACTGATCTAACAAATAATCCTGGAAAGCTGGATTTCTTCAGTGTTTAAACTAGTGATAACATCTACAGCTACCTTTGGAACACGATTTGTCTATAAATATACATATACCTGCTTAATAGAACCATGAGGATTAGTTAATAAAAATATATCTAAGACCCATCAACTTTCGTTTTTCCTACTGAGTCTCAATTCACAAATTAATTGCTGGGGGGAAGAATCACATTTCCCTCTGAGTGGTGAAAGTCGGAGTAATCACAGAGTTCTCAGGAAGATTCTGAAAGCCTTTGAATTTTGAGGGATTTGGGCAGCTCTTTTCTAAATCTATTAAGTTTAAGAGAAGTGGAGGAATACTTTTTTTACCCATAGTCCTAAAAGCTTATGAACTTTCAAAGGGACACAGGCGCCAACCTAAATGAGGTTCCAGTGGTCAAAGCTGGAACAACTTGAGCAACACAGTAGCATCGTATTGATGGGACCAGCCTATGGCATAATGGTTATATCACTGGACTCCCACGTAGTTGACAAAGGTTGAGTCCTGGATCCGGGGATTAAAACTCATGCCAGGCGCGTGTGTGTGCATGCCCAAGATCTCAAGAGGAGAATGGAAGAGAAGGGATTGTGGCATGGCCATATCCAAATGGAATATGGAAAGAGAAATAGTAACCATGCAGTTGAGAAACCTGACTGTCTCTACATTAACCAAAAGGTCCAGTCTGGTACCTCCTGTTATGTGATGAGAAGAATACTTCATTTCTGTGTCCTTCTTTCCCCCAAACCCACCACCACGGTCGAAGTATGAGAAAAACATCAGACAAAACCTGAGGAGTGTCACCCACAAACCGTTACCAGAGTATTTTATTGGAATTCTTCAAAGCTGTCAAAGTTGAGAAAAGACTAAAAAGCCCCCACTGAACACAGAGACAAGACACTAAATGCATTGCTGTACCCGGATGACTCCTGAAAGAGGCATTACCAGCCAACTAGTTAAACCTGCACAAAGCCTGCGGCTTAGTCCACAGTAACCAGCCAACGTAAATTTCTCAGCTTTGACAGCTGTGCCATGGTTTTGTATGGTCCGAACACCATGGGGCACTGGCCGAGGGCACAGGGAGCTTCACTCTCTTTGCAATACTTTTAGAAGTCTAAAATTATTCCAAAGTAAGTTTCATTAAAGCAACAAGGGCAGAAGTTGAACTTCGGATGCCAGGAACCTCTAAAAGCCGCGGCAGCTCACCCCCTCTTAGTAAGTCCTGCGAAAGGCAGGGCCAGTGTTTGGCACTCCTGCATTGGGCGTGTGCGTTTCAGGAGCAGCGGGAGCTGAGGCTCCTCCCCGGAGCCACCAGGGCGCCGGACTCTGCCCTGGACGCGCCCCGCGGGGCGGATCCCAATCAGTGGGCGGTGGCCCCAGCTCCACCGAACCGCCCTAGGAGCTGACCCTGCCAGGAGGCCCGATTACCCAGGGGAGGAAGAGAGCCAGGACCCTGCGCTGGCTGGGCGACCTCCAAGGTAGGCGAACTGGTGACCTGCTGACCTGAGTCCTGCAGTGCGCGCGCGCGCGCTCGGTCACCCGGGCTGGATGGGTAAGTGTCCAGGTGCCCTTGGGGCGGGTTCCCCCAGCGGAGCTTGGTGCACCAAGGGCATTTCCTGCAAAGGGTTCTTGGTGAAGAGAGTATTCCTGCCTGTAAGCCTTTTTTTTTTTTTTTTCTGGGCTGGGATTCCTTGGCGTGAAGTTTCTTCTCCTCCAAGGAAAAAAAAGTTGCCATCCCAAAGAAAGGAACCCCCCACCTTAGCCGGCCGCCCGCAGGTCTGCTTAACTATTTACGTAGTTGTTACACAATCGCTTTGCCAGGGATCCTGTGATTTCCGTCGCTAATCTCAGAGCCCACGGAGCACAGCACTCTGGAAAACGCTGTCACCTGTTAACTCCAGCTCGGCATCTTTGACAGATCACCGCACCTGCAATTTTAGCAAAGCGGAACCAATGGTTGTCTTACCCTTCATTCAGTCGGTTGGCCTCCTTATCTTCAGGTGTAGCAAAAGGACATGGCTTGACATTTTCTGTTGTTTAGTGGGTGGCAGGGGTTTTAGAACTGGAAGCCTCAGGGCTCTAGGCACCTGTGCAGAGGAGCAATTGCAGCTTTCTGACAGTCCCCTCCGAGCAAGTATAGTTTGTGGTTGGATAATGACATAGCTGTGACTTTTCAAACGTTTTCAAAAGAGAAACAATAATTGATGTAAAGATTAGAGCAGACAATTAGCCCTGAGCATAACTGAAGCTGTGCCTGTACCATAATATCATACCCATTTTTTTTTCTCTTGGGAATCAAAACCTCTTTTACTTTCTCAAGGTATGTAGATTAGACGAGGGATCAAACTACAGAAGGGAATTATTCTGGGTTTGCAATAGGGAAAAGATAATCTGTCCTTTTGATTTTGCTTCATGCTATGAAATATTCAGCTCTACAGAAGTCTGGATTACCAGAAATGTGAGCTGAGCGGGAGTGTCAGGTAGCCAGGCAGACACAATTGGGGCTGTTGTTGAGCTGTTGCTCAGCTGTCCCTGGGCTGTCCCCTCCCCCCTTACACTCACAATCTGAGAGTGAAGGCCCCTGACACAGGAATTTGTGCCTAAGGCAGGGTCTAGTCCTCAACTATTTACAGAAAGAATGAAAACAAGCTAGACTTCTTGGGACCTAAGCCACCTTCTAAGAAGATTCTTACCCTTTGTAATTTTCAAAACAAATTGATTCGCTGGCCCTAACTAGAAAGGGAACTTTTGAAATAAGTACAGGGCCTATGTCTTGAATTAATAATAGACATATTATTTGCTAGCTTATTTATTTACAAAGGTGCTGAATAGTGTACTTGAGCTGTGATCCATATTTAGGCCAACTGAAAACTGAGGTGCACATTTGTTTGAGATAATGACTTACAAAGGGAAGAACTGAAGACTTGGAAGGGAATTAAAAAATCTTTTAAAGTAAGAGTTTTAAATCTTTTGACGGACCAGCAGTTGGCATAATGGCTATGTTGCTGGACTCCCATGTAGTTGACTGCAATTCAAGTCCCAGACATGGTGGCTTAAACTCACGCTGAGCATGTGTGCGTGCGTGCCCAAGATCCAGAGAGGAGAATGGAGGAGAAGGGATTGTGGTGTGGCCATCCCCCCCCCCCCACCCCCCGGAGGTGATTTCTCACTGTCTGTCTATCTTTCTCTATCTTTCTGGTGAGTGCACGCACCCTAGAGCAAAAACGTCTCAAAATTAAAAAAAATCCTTTGAACTATTTATCTCAAAATTATATGGCTATTTATTAATTAAAAACATTTCACAATGGCAAAATGTTACTGTGAATTTAATAACATGTTTAAATGAATTTACATTTTACTGAGCACAAAACGAGCCATCTGCATGGGTTTGGAAAACAAATTGTGTGTGTGTGTGTGTGTGTGTGTGTGTGTGTGTGTACATTCAGTTTTAGAAAATATTTGGTGCATCTGTGGATTTGTGGGCTTATTCATGGATTCATTGAAACAATATTTTTTGAATAATAGTTGTTCAGGGCACTGTGCGGGGGCCCTGTATAAGCAACCTTCCTGACTATGGTGGGCACGTGCGTGACCCAGGGCTGGCTGCAGCTGTAGATGGATCATGGCATTAAGACTCCATTGAAGGCCAGCAGATGGTGTAGTGGTTAAGGTGTTGGACTCGTATGTGGTCAACCATGGTTTGAGTCCCGGACCGGGCACCTTGAAACTCCCACTGGGTGCCTCTGTGTGCATGCCTAAAATCCCTAGAAGAGGATGGAGGAGAAGGGACTGCAGCCTGGACAACCACCTTGGGAGTAATTTCTCACATTCTGTTTTTCTGTTTCTCTGGTGAGCACGCACACCTATAGCAAAAATCTTTTTTTTTTTAAAGGCACCCATTGAGGATGTGATTGCTCTCTCTTGTTTCATTCATAGCAAAAAATAAAGTAAAAAAAAAAAAAACCTTTAAAATCTATATTTTTGGCAACTTAGAATATGAATAATTTTTTTCAGTCTTTTAAACTTTGAAAACAAGATAACCTAGGTCAAGTAATACAGTTTTGCAAAACTGAATGTGTTCATTTGAAGCTCACTTTTTCTGCATGCAATGTTAAAATAATCTTAAAACTCCTAGGTGAGAACACTACACTATCGATCTGTAGTTACATGAAGTGATTAGTTCTCATTGGCGATTTTTTTTCCCCTTGGTAAAGTCTTTTTTTTTTTTAAATCATTAAACAGGCACACTTTCTAGTCTTATACCAATGATTGCATGTCACATGTCTCTTGAGAAGATATACCATATACAAAAATTAAATCTTCAACCTTCTTACTTTCATATGTGCTTTAAGCAACTTCTAATTCTTTTTTTTTAAGTTTTTTTTTTTTTTGGAGTGGTTTTTCGCTATAGGGCGCGTGCGCTCGCCAGACAGACAGACAGAGTCATAGAGACAGAAAGTGAGAAATCACCCCCCAGGGGGGATGGTCACGCCGCAATCCCTTCTCCATTCTCCTCTCAGGATCTTGGGCACGCATGCACACGCACCCAGCGTGAGTTTTAAGCCACCGGGTCCGGGACACAAACCACGGTCAACTACGTGGGAGTCCAGTGGCATAGACATTACGCTAACTGCTGGTTCCCGCAACTTCTAATTATTTTGATGAGCTCACATTGTTATGATCTGATACAAGAAATTTAGTTTTATTCTGTTGGTAAGCTTCCCCTCACTCTAGTATCTTTCCATTATCACTGGAACTTGGTAGGAATCCACTCTTGGCTAAAAGTAGACTTTCTAGACATTAACATGATAGTCTAAATATGAAGAGTAAGAAAATGTTGTGCATCTAGAAAATTGTTAGGAAAAGCATAGGAAGATGAGAGAAGGAGTCCTAGGTTCATGAATTAGATTTATATTTTGTAGAAAATATTCTTATATTTCTTATGAATTCTTTTATTTTTTTAATGATAGCATGTGCATGTACATGAGAGAGAGACCTAGACAGACAAAGCACGTTTAGCAGGGTCTTGTAATGCCAGGATGCCTATTTCCCAGTCCTTGAGCTCTTTGATATTCTAGGCACCATTGTGTGCCCAGTGTTTTCAAGCTGACCAGGGGACCTGAACCCATGGCTGGCCTACTGTGGCTTCTGACCTAATCCAGTACTTACGTTATCACTGCACCATAGAGGTTGGGCGTCTTGTGTATTTTTACATAACTCCTCCTACTCTCCCACCTTTGTAAACAGTGCATATGGTTAACTTTCGTAAAATGTTTAACTTTTATTATTTTTGTCATCTTACTGAATATCAAATTTTACTGTTTAATCTTATAGCATGAACAGTTCTACCCACCTATTTACCTATCAGCAGCTCAGTAACCAGCTTTATAACAATCTTGATTCCTTTTTAATTTTAACCATTTACATTTTTGCGGGGTGAGTCAATGATTTGAATGCAGGAAAATCAATCCCGTTCATTGTGGTTTCTAATTAGTTTTTACAACATTAGGAAGAGTTCATACATTTTTGGAATCTTAGTTGCATTTTACTTTTTCCAGGGTACCATTGTTGCCGGCTAAAATCTGTCAGCCCTTTCTATGAGTGATTAAGAAGTGAACCAAAGAGAGAAGCAATTTATTTAGCAGTGTTCGAGCAAGGAGGGACCCAGAGCTAACAAACCCACAACCTACTCCCAGAACAGAAATCTCCAGCACATTATACTCAGTTACACTTCTTGTTTATCCATTGTTATTTATAACGTGAATGTAGTTAGTTTAGTGTTTCTCTTACCCTCATGATTTTCCCAAGATTGTTCTGTGTACCTTTTCCTTTCGCTTGACATTTATGACCTTTTGTTGTTGTTGTTCTGATCGGAGACATTAATTTGTTAACTTTGATTTATGATATACATTGAAAGTTTGAGGGAAGTTACAATGTATTTCCTTTAAGCTATACTGTTTTACAAAACAGTCTAAACATCTGTGAGTAACTTTTATAGTAAATGATAACATTATTACAGTTTTCCCAATTTTAACTTTTTACATTGTGTCCCTTGAGCAAACATTCCTGTCTCCTAGATTTCTTGCTTGGTACCCTGGACTCATTGCATTTTTGTGAACATAGCCTAAAGTAAGGGACTTACTTTCCTCTTTGAAACAAATACACTTATTTATGACCTTACTTGTTACAATAGTTATAGATTGCATCAGTAACAGAAGCTACAAGCCTAGTTAACCCTTAAAGTATAAGAAAGAGAAATGACTTGAAACAAAAACAAACCGGGTTAAAAACTGTTTTTCCTGTTTTACTATGGATTACTATTTTTAAAATAAATATTCACCTTAGAATAGAGAATTGTAAGTTTTGGCAAATGAATAAATTCACCCCTCCCACCACAAAAGTCCCACATCTTTTTTCTTTTTTAAATTTGCCAGGGAACACGTGAGCTATAGAGAAGGTGAGAAAGCAGACCCCCTGC